TGACTTTTCTCTTCCAAAAAACACTCATTTCGTCTAAACAATTTGACTGTTTGTCACTCCATCTCTCAACTTTTCAATTTCCTAGTTACTTATACGAACAAATAAAAAATACTCTTATAGACTTATATATCAATGTGGCCACACAGTGTGGCTAACCACACACTAAACTTGTTGCTATTCTATTTTTATTTTTTTTAAAATTTAAAGGGATGTTCTTAACCAGTAACCCCCAATTTCTGCTACGCATCAACGGTAACCCTCTTTTTTTTGGATTATACAAAATGGCCCTAATTAAGAAATTTATCTCACATATGACATTAATGAGTGTTATTTATTTAAAAAAAACTAACTATGGTTAACTTTGAAAAAAAAAAAAACTAAAAATTAAAACCACCATCCCAGCCACCACCTCCACCCTTATCCCCACCACCTCCACCCTCACTGGAGCCACCAAACTCCCTCATCTGAAACGCTGACACCCACCGTGGTTCATTTATGAAGATTTAATTTTCTGGAGAGAAACCAAGTTACTTCGCTGAAAGTTCCGATTGCCTCGCTAAATGTTCTGATTTTTTTACTGAAAAAACTTGATTTTTTGGGCTGAAAATTATGATTTTCCTGCTGACAAATCTTGATTTTTCGTTGAAATTTTTTGATATTTGTGCTGAAAATTGTGATTGCTCCAGCAAAACTTTGGAATTTTCTACTGAAAATTCTGACTATTTCCCTCTTTAATAGGTTTTGATTGCTTCTCTCCTGATCTAAATGCTGATCTAAATCCTTCTCTCCTGATTCCACCCTCATCGTGGTTTGATTGGTGGTTTGGGGTTGCTCATGGTTTGGGTTCGGCGGTCCAACCTTCGAACCTAGAAACTCCCACCCACCATCTCTGTTGAAATGAACCCGACCCTCGAACCCAGAAACCTCCATCCACCATCACGCAAAACCTCCCTCAAAACCTTGCTCAAAACTATCGAAAACCCCACCCCACCGCCAATTTTTGGGTTTTGGAGTGGTTTTCGTAGCGATTTTGCGGGTGTCGGGATGGGTTACGGTGGTGGTTGGTTGAGGGGTAGGGTGGCTGTGGGCAGCAAGGAGGTGGTTGGGGTAAGGGCGGCAAGGAGGTGGTTGGGGGGAGGGCGGCAAAGAGGTGGTTGGGGAGTGGGCTGGCCAGAACAGTGGGAAGTGAGGAGAAGGAGGAGAGATTGACCGGAATCAATGGGGTATTAGGGGTTGGGATTAATTTTTTTAATTTTTATTTTTTTAAAAAAAAATATGAATATAACCATAGTTAATATTTAATGAAATAAGGTTATGAGTTGGATGAAATTTTTAACTAACGTCATTTTGTATAATCCAAAAAAAGGAGGTTATCATTGGTGCGTAGTAGAAATTGGGGGCTACCATTGAGAATATTCTAAAATTAAAATTAACTTTATTGTAATACCCTGGAAATTTCCTTCCTTTAAAATACTCTTTTTACCCTAAATAAAACCCTTTTTAGGAAATAACCAAAATATTACCGCCACCGTGATAATGGCTAAGGCTAGTTTTCAAAGTCACACAATGGAAGTCTAAAACAAAAACCAACTTTTAAAAATAAAGTTTGAGTTTAGAACTTCAAAACAAAAGCAAAATAAAACATTCACAAGTTGGAACCAATTCAAACATGGCCCTTCTTAAAAACCATTTAAAAACAAATATAATATTGTTAGTCCATAGCAAATCAATAATTCAAAAATATTAAAATTAAGAAACATAACAAGTAACTTTCTGCACTCTATCCCATCATGCTCTTTATGCTTCAAGTACCTGTTACTTCCTCTTTATTTCAATTCTCTACTCACCATAAAAATGGATCGTAGTAGGGCCAATCCAAAGGAAAGCCAAACACAAACACAAAAGTACGAATCAGCAAAGCTGAATACATATGCACCACACTAACATGAATATCTTAGCATCAAAATAAAAATAATAATTAAAACATGCTCGCCACACAATCATAAGTTAACTTACCTCTGACTCATAACTAGCAATATTAAATTATCAATAATAATTTTGGATTACACATCGAATGAGTTTCCTTCCTTGAAAATAGCCCATTTAAATATTGAGCTTCTAATCAGGGAGCTACCCTTATTGGCACTTACTATGTCACCTTGTGATGGAATTCCAACGCATTAATAATAAAGAAAGTACAGCGTCTTGTACCCCTGTAGAAGCTACGGTTAAATATAAAACCCCATAACTCCTCCCATATGTTCATACTCAAGGTATATACGTTTTAAGAGTTTTGGTGCGTATCCTCTTACACTTTACGTGATTTACCGATTTAACTTGTGATGACTCAAACCAATCAATCAAGAACAAACATAATAACAATCAATACAAACTTCCAATTCATTCTTGAATTAATTAGCGAGCACATACTATTTATTTTAATTAAGGTTCCTTGCCTAGTTTTGTGCACAAAATCGCACGATTACTACCTTGGTGCATAGAATGCACTATTAATAAACTTCCTTGACTCAAACTCAACTTACTTGAGTGAGTAAATAAATAACCTAACTTCTTGACTCAACACCAATAATAAATGGGTAAGAAATAAATTCATGAATCATGCTCAAAATTTCTAACTTTAGCTCTTTAAGTCATATATAAGCCTTGCTTATTAAATTCATGCTTTCTTGATACTTGAAAATAAAATATACTTTCACGATTCATACATACTCAACTTGTATCATGCCTCGAATAACATATTCACATGCTTGCATAATAATTCATGCTCAACTAACATCAATTTCAAGCATATAATCAACCAAACATGCTATTAATTCATCACTTAAATCACACTTTACAATCCTAGCATGATACTACGCACACACAAATATTCTTGTGCACATACGTACCTTGAATACACTACTAGAAAACAGGCAAATTCCGACGGACTTGTTCCGACGGACACGAAATTCCATCAGAAAAAGCATAATTTCCAACGGATTTCTGTTCCATCGGATATTTCCGACGAATTTAAAAATTCCGTAGGAAATCCGTCGAAAATTTCCGACGGATATAATTTCCCTTGGAATATTTGTTCTTTCCGACAGAATATTCCATCGGAAATTGTAATTTCCGACGAATTTAAAGTCCGTCGGAAGATTCCGACAGAAACTTCCATCGGAAGATTATTAAAAAAAAAATTAAAAAACCCCAAACCCTTAAAAAAAAAAAATTAAAAAACCCCAAACCCTCTCTTTCTCCGCCTCTTTCCCCTCTCTTTCTCTCTCCTCTTCTCTTTCTCCTTCCCCCTCCTTCTACTTCTATTTTCTCTTCTTCTCTTTCTCTTTCCTCTTCTCTTCTCCTTCCCCTTCTCTTTCCTCTTATCTCTCGTCTTTCTCGCCTCCTTCTTCTCTCATCTTCTTTCCCCTCCTTTTGTTGTGGTGTTCATCCTCTTCGACCATGCACCGACACCAACCACTAACGACACCAACCACCAACGACAACCAACAACCACCGCCGCAACAACACCACTGGCAAGCATCTCAAGGTTTCCACAACACCACCACCGCAAAACAACGGCCACCGTCGCACAACACCAAGGTTTTTTTTGTAGATCTAGTTTTAGTTAAGGTTAAATTGTAGATTTTGTTTTGTTTTTGAACATTTATGATTCTAGTTAATTATTTTTGTAATTGTAGTTTATAAATTTATTAGATCTTTGTAATGATAATAGCGAATTTTTTTTCGTTTTTTTAGATCTTTGTAGATCTTCGTTTTTTTTTATAAATTTATTAGATCTTCGTTTTTTTTTTTTTTTTTATTATTGAAATTTAGATCAGTGACTATATAAGATCTTGTTTTTGTGGGAATTTGTGTTTCGGATTTTTGTTTTGGATTTTTGTAATTGTAATTGTTTCGGTTTTTTTTTTCGTTTTTCTGGGTGGGTGGGTTAGGTGGGGTGGTGGTGGTCTAGTCAAGGGTGGGTGGGTGGGTGGGGTGGTGAAGGTTTGGACAAGGTGAATGGGGTGGTGGAGGTTTGGACAGGACAGGGTGGGTGGGGTGGTGGTGGCTTGACATAATGGGGAAGGGTGGGGGTCTGGTCAGGGGTGGGTGGGGTGGTGGAGGTTTGGACAGGACAGGGTGGGTGGGGAGGGTCTGGTTAGGGGTGGTGGTGGGGGGCTGTGTTTTTTTTTTATTTTTTTTTACTGACTTTTCCGACGGAATTTTCCGTCGGAATATTCCTCTTCCGACGGAATATTCAGTCGGAATATAACTCTTCCGACGGAAAATTCCGTCGGAAACCTATCCACTTCCGACGGAAATTTCCGTCAAAAATTTGCGACGGACTTTCAATTAAAGTAAAAAACAGCGCCGACAGAAATAGATCCGTCGGAAAATCCGTCAAAATAACGCCTTCCGACGGAATTTCCGCCGGAAAAGGTTGAATTTCCGACTAGGGCCACTGTGACAGATTTCATCGGATGGCGTTATTCCGACGGATTTTGCTATGTTTTCGACGGATTTTTTTCCGTCGGAATCCAGCTGTTTTCTTGTAGTGATAATGCCTAAACTCGGCCACACTCACTAGAAATCACCTAGCTTGAAGCTTCCTAGAAATAAGAATACATAACTATAATTAATCTACTATTCACACAAATTTAGCAACTATAATACTCTTTAAACCTTACTAATTAACCCAATTTAATGACATAAAAGCCATAAAACCTTTTCTTTAAGTGGGTACTTCAAACCCTTTCAAAAAGACTTAATTTTTATGACTTAAATAAAATTCCAGCATACTTATTTAATATAATACATCACTACTAGACTCAGTGGCGGATCCAGGATTTGATTAATAGGTGGTCCCATCATCGTCCATCGACCGCATAAAGTATAAAAAAAAGTCAAAGCTTGTATAATGAACAAAAAAAATTACATAAAAAAGTTCATTTCATAAAGTAATGCAAATTCGTATTACAACTAAAAAATTATTAATTTTATTACAATTGCTCTCGACGAGTTTCCATATTTTGATAACGATTTACAATATCATCCATGCTAACATTCAAAAACAAATCTCTTTCTAAATAAGTAATCAAACAATCATTCAACATTTGATCTCCCATGCTATTACGCAATTTATCTTTCACTTGCCTCATTCGGAAAAATACTCTTTCTACACTTGTCGTTGCAACAGGAAGAATCAACACGAACTTCAAAAGTAAGTAGACTCGATCATGAGTTTCAAACTTTCCCGTCTCAACAAGTTTCGTAGAAAGTTCACTTAGACTTTTCAAATTCCAAAATCTCTCATCATTTCGAACATCAACAATAAAATTTTCAAGTGAATGTTCAAAAAATAATAACTCAGAGCTTGAAAATTCATCGAGATAAAATTTGGCAAGTTGAACTAACTTTCTTTTGTCAAAAGAATGAAACTGATTTACAGGATTAAAGCAAGACATACACACAAGTAATTCCTTACTTACCTCGGGAAATCGATTTTCAAGTTCTTGTAATTTAAGATCAATGACACTTAGAAAAACTTCAACTCTAAAATGATGAAGATTAGTCACTTGTGGACCTTTACCTCTATACATTCTTCTCCCAGGAACCACATATCGCCCCTCCATGTTTGGAACCTCAATGTCATATTTAGCCATAAAAGAAGTGACTTTTTCCATATGTGAATCCCATCCTTCATCTCTCAATTTTTGCAAATTAGTCTTGGTTACATCAACCATGACCATTGCATTTACAATATCTTGATCATGTTTTTGCAATGCCACATTCAACGCATTTGTAATTCCTAATATATCAACCATCAAGTGTGCCACAAACACAAAATCAAATGACATCAACAAGTGTGTAATAGATTGTGCTTTATTCGAATCAAGTGTATCTAATACTTCTGCAATGGAATCAAGTGACAAAAGTATTGAAGGATATGAATCAAGCACATTCAAAATGGTTTTAAAGTGAGATCCCCAACGAGTATTACAAGGTCTACTTAAGCCACGTTCTTGATTTAAACCAGTTCTCGATTCAATTTCACCCAAAGATAATGCTTCTACAACCCCTTGACGTTGTTTTTCTCGAAGAAATTCTTTCCTCTTAGGTGAACCTCCCACAAAGTTCAAGAGAGGTGCAAGTACATCAACAAAAAGCCAACCACAATCTGAGCTTTTCTTAGCAAGTGCAACTTGTGTCAATTGAAGTTGATGACCAAAGCAATGAACAAAGTATCCTTGAGAACATTCATTCAAAATTAGAGTTTTAAGGCCATTGATTGAACCTTGCATATTACTTGCCCCATCATAACCTTGACCTCGAACTTGAGAGAAAGTTAAAGAGTGTTCCATGAGTAATGACTCAATAGCAGCTTTGAGAGTTAAAGAACTAGTATCAGGAACATGCACAATACCAAGAAAACGCTCACACACTTCCCCCTTTTTATTAACAAATCTCAAACAAAGTGCCATTTGTTCCTTATCGGAAACATCGGCAGATTCATCAACAAGAATAGCAAAAAATCCACCATCAAGTTCTTCCAATATTGCTTTAGTTGTTTCTTTAGCACAAGCATTGATTATATCTTTTTGGGCACTTGGAGAAGTAAGTTGACAATTACCAGGGGCCGTTTTAAAAACAACTTTGGAATACTAAGGATCATGGTTTGAAAGAAGAGTTAATAACAAAAGAAAGTTACCTCTAGACAATGAACTTTCCTTTTCATCATGACCACGAAAAGGAAACCCTTGGAACAATAGCCATTTAATGGTTTCAATTAAAGCTTCTAATCTCTTACGATAGGCACTCATGGTTTCCGCTGTTTGTTTGATAAAGCGGTGGCAATGCTACTCATTTGATTCATGAAAAAGTTCATAGCAATCACAGCATTATTGTGAGCACTCTTGTGTCCACCAACATGCTTTACAATTGTGTCTCTTCTATTCCAACATCTGAAACCTCCATTAACAAAAGCATCCACTCCCGCTGTGTTACCATCCTTAAATAGATAGCAAATGAAACAAAAGGCAGCATCTTTCTCAACACTATACTCAAGCCATGTTGGCCAAGTATCAAACCATTTAACATTAAATTGACGTTTTTTCGGCCCAAAAAGTGTTTGAGGAAACACATGATCTTTAGGTTGACATGGATTTCTTTGAATGTATGTTCTCCGCACTAAATCCCTATCATCGGGATGAAAATCACACATCCTTCTTCTTTTCCCGGGGTCTTGTGGAAGATTAATAATATCAAGTGCACTTAACCTTCCTTCACCAATTTGAGCACTAGGATCCGAACCACCTTGGGGAAAAGATTGCCCATCTTCATTTTGAGGGAAATTGAGAGATGGGGAAGAATGTTGTTCACTAGCATGATGTAAAGGAGAACTTGGTTCACTTTCTTGAAAGGGTAAAATATTTTGTGGAGGAGGAGTATCATTTTGTGGAGGAGGAGGATTTAGAGTACGCACTTTTTTAGTAAAAAAACTTGAAATATCTCGAGTTGTTTTTCTTTTCATTCTGAAATTGAAGTTAAAGGTTGAATTAGATAAATCATACAAGAAGGGTTCTCTCAAGGTTATTAAAACTAATAATATCATCAAAACAACGCCCATTAACCTCAATTTTAGTCTACCCTTCAACCCCAAATCTCCAAATTAGCGATTCCCAACTAAATTTCAAACCCAGAACAACATAATCACCATTCTCAATAGCTAATAAGAAGGTTGGACAGCTATTATCATTTATCAATTAAATAGAAATAATACTATAAATCTATAATAGGGCTCAAATGGTTAAATATCCGGCCACAACTCACATTCACAAATCACACTATTCAAGCTCTAATAAAATCATACAGATAATCAAGTGACGATAATCAAGTCATAACATTCAAACTTTAATAAAGTCATACACTCATACAGATAATCAAGCTCTAATAAAATCAAGAAATTTCACCCAAAAAAAAAAAAACCAACTCATACAGTGAATCAGTGATAGTCATACAGATAATTTGATAATTAAACATTTAAATTGATAATTTGATATAGAATCTAATCAATCTATAATCTTATTGTAAATTTGTAATGTAATTATGTAAATTAAAACTAACCTAAAAAAAAATCGAATTTCCACAAAGTACGACTGTAGGAGACAGACGCCCTCACGCAGCTAGTCACGCCTGACGGACGAAGCTTATACCGGCGACGGCGAGAACACGGAGTGACGGAGCATGAAAAACCGGCCGGTGAACGGCGACGGGGCTGCTGCGGGGGATTTCGATTTAGGCGAGTTTGAAACTTAGGGTTTTAATTTGGGGGAATTGGGGAAATGTTCTGAGTTTCTGAATTATGTTTTAATTTCTAAATCTTGAAAATTGAAAGTGAGGTTGTAAAGCAAAAAAAGAAAAAATGTGTGAGTAATGGGATTTGAACCCAGATCTCGTGTGTGGTGGGATGGGAAAAAAACCACCGGGCTGCAAGCTAAAATTCTTGATAGTTTTTTTTTTTTTTTAATAAAATAATAGGTGGTCCGCGGATCCACTATGACTACACGTGGGTTCGCCACTGAATAGACTAGAAAATCATATTTAAATCATTAAAACCTTTTTCCCTTTTATGGGTAATCAAACCCTAACTCAATAATTAAAAAGTAGTGTGCATAGAGAAATTTCAGCATTAATTTGAGGGCTTTAAACTTATTTAAAAACATGTTTAGATCATTAATAAAACAAAAACAACAACCTAGGATCAAACCCTTACCATAAACATTAAATTCCCAAATTCTAGGGTTTGTAAATCGTGGTTTTTGATTGAATAAAAATCTGAAAATTATATAAATAATTTAACAACATCAAATACCCAAAATCAATACCAAAACATAATCAAAATCATGCTTTAAATTAATAAAATAAATAGAATTAAATTAGGAAGAGAAATAGATTTTTTATTTATTTATTTATTTTTTTTTTATTTTTTTACATAACACTACCAACCAAAATACCAAAGGAGAGAGAGAGAAGGAGGGGCGCACGGCTGCTGCTGGTGCTACCGCTGCTCCCGGTGGCTCGCAGGTGGTGGTGGCGGCGCCGGTGGCTGCCGGCGTGAGGGGAGAAGAAGAGGGAGAGAAAGGCGTGGGGAAAAGAGGGAAAAGAAGAGGAAAAAGAGAGGAAAAATAAGGAGAAAAAGGAGAGAGAAAATAAAGAGAAAACCTTGGAATTTTTTTTGTGAAATCTGACAATTATAATTTTAGAGTGAAAAATCTTGAGGTGTTGAAGTATTTATACTCTCCTTTTAAAACAAAAACTCATAATTACAAAATTGTCATTACTAAATCGTACTCCCCCTTGACTTCTTCCTTTGGGCCAACTTATTAGGCTTTTAAGTGTCCTTAATTCCCCAACAAGTTGACCCAACTATTGAAATAAAGATGACCCAATTCAAAACACTTTTATTGCCTCAATTAATGACCCATATTATTTTATGCACACTTACATAATATTTCAATAATTAATTTCTTTTTAAAATGAAATGAATCATTTTAATTTATAAAATAAATAAAATAAATAATTTATATATATATAAATATTATAAAAATACGAAGTATTACATTTATCTTGAGACAATTTTAAAAGAAAATGAATCTTTTATTTAGGAATAAAAAGTGTAATTATTATTGATAATAAATATTGAATAGAGACAATCCGAACAAAGAAGCTACACAACTCAACTCATAAATTTCTTAAGGAATACCAATTCATTTGTCTGAATGTAATAGTCACATTGTCCCACCCCTCATACTTCATAATTAAGTATACAATAATACACCATACAATAAACATGAAAGCCTTAAATGATAGACAGCCAATAGCTAAACCACCCCCATACTTTCCATATTCATTCAATCTCTAGTAACGACTTTTTTAAACATTATACGGAGTATAAACCAATATACGTGACAATTATTTCCGACTAGACGCAAGTCATCCCACCACCCACCCCCAGTCCCCACTAAAGCCATGTTGTTGTCTACTACAAAGTACTATTCAAACACACACTCCCTTTATTGATGTACCCTCAATAAATTATCAAATCATGCCAATTATCACACTCTGCAACCATGTACTAAACCAATGACACCATTCCCCTAAAAAATTGAATCCATACATTTATACGTCTTAATCAAGAAAAATAAAGTATAGTTGTAGCAAAATCTAGTAATAGAAGCAATTTCAAGGACCCCACAAAATATAGAAACTTGTTGCTCCGTACATCAATTACTGCTGCATTGAAAACTAAAGCACTTTGAATCCTTTCTTCTTCTCATCGTTCATGGCACCCAGTGCTGCAGCAGCACAGCAGCAGCGCGCAGCAGCCCAGTAGATGTGCAGCACCCAGCATTGTAGCCTAGATTTATGCAAGTAGCGTTTTATTACCTTCTATCCCTTTAATTATTCTTGCAAAATTCCAAAAACCCAAATTTTTAAATTTTATCTTTCATTGTTTCTTTTGCATGGCACTGTCCCTTTCGTTTTCTCTGATCAGGTACAGTTTTCTCTGGCTTAATTTCAACTGGGTTTTGTCCAATGGGTTATTTTATGGGAAAATTGTTGAAATTCTTTGCATTGTTTTTTTTTTTTTTAGTACCCAGTTGAGATTATGCTTTGATCGTTTGCTTTTTGTGTAAAAATTGTTGAAATTCTTTAATTTCTGCATTTTTTTGACTGAAATTTTGTAGATTGTGGATTTTGGAGTTTAGAGTAAGAAGACGATGATGGGGTCTAACAATGGTTGGGATGCTGAAGAGATGTGAGTTTTGTAAATTTGTTGCTTGTTGTTCTGATTTTTCTGGGGTTGTGGATTTTTTTTTCTGAATTTTGATTTTGATTGGGGAAATTGTGATTGGTGTTGTAGTTTTCATAAGTATTTGTACGATTATATGGTGAAGAAGAACATGCACAAGACTGCTGAGGTGTTCGCAAAAGAGGCAAATGCTGATATTTGTTCTGTTGGTATGTGGTCCTAATCATAGCTTGCTTGGGGTTTTTCACAATTTTTGACGTTTTCTATTGATTTGGTATTGATGGGTGAACATATGGATTCCTGACTAATTAATGGATTGTGATGCTTGTTTTTGCCGTCGAGAGAGCCACGAAGGATAGTGATGTAGACGGGATTTAGTTTAGGTCTTGGATACTGTCCCTGAGACTTAAGCCGAATAAGCTAACCGACATCCTCACTATTTGATGTTGATTGATCATTGCTTTAGTTTTCATATATTGTTTCTATGTCAGTGGAAAGGCAATGATATAGGCTTTTCAGAGCATATGTGGACGCTACCTTTGATGCTTATGCTCATGACTATGATGGAATTCTTGGAAACCTAAATTGTTCATATGCTTCGTTCCTTTTTAAAGGATCCTTGTTCTGACCTTTGTATTAGGCGTGATGTATTGATAACGCGAGTTATGCCAAAACCAGAAAAGATTAAGCAATGTGAATTGTTGAAATCATCCAATATAGTGGTGGTGTGGCCGTGTGAGACAATTGTTAGCTGAACTGCAGTAAGATAGTGAGGGCTTTTTTTGTGCATATCTCCTAGTATTATGCATTTTGGGGCTGAACTCTGTAATATTTTGTTAATTATCATACTTCTTCGCTGCTTCTTATGAGTTATGACATATTGGGCGTGTTTTGTTGACGTTAGCTTCTTGTCAAACCTCAACCTATCTTTTAAAGTTCCATTTCTCTTTGTTGTCTCTAATAGTTGGTTTTTCTTTTCAAGTTTCAGCAATTGATTCTCCTCAAGGCTTTTTAGCTGAATGGTGGTCAATCTTTCATGATGTGTATTTCTATATGTATCCTCATCATGCACAAACTACCGAGACAGTGTCAAACAAGGTGATCTGGCAGTGTTTTGAAGGAAATCTTGTACTTTGTTTTGTTTCTTATTCTTATCAGTTAATTCACTTCCAATTTTCAGGGCAAACAAGTATCTGGAACCACTTCACATAGTCCATGTTCAGAGGCATCAAAGTTTGTGATCAATCCACAAAGTTCTGTGCAGTTCCCAATTGGTAGTCATTGTGATAACATTTTAACACAACTGTCCCCAAAAACCTGTGACGGAGCAAATCATAAGCGAATGACTAGAAAAAGTGATACAAACTCGCAGATCAATACTGAAACCCGGGGTAGCTCCAAGTTAGCTGGAAACAGTCCAAGGTCAGTTCTGTGGTCAATTGATTTATTTATACAACCCTATGTTTAGCTCTACCTCTTCTGACATATAATCTGTTGTGTGAAATTGGTGGCTTGAGCTGCATTGTTGTTAGGCATTCATAAAATTTCCCCTTACCACTTGCTATGCTTGCTCACATCATTTTCTTGTTCTTATGGTGTCACAGTAACTCTCAGCAAAATTCCCATAAACAAGTGCAACAGCGGCAAGTAGGTATATGAAGTTAGTTGTTGAGGTGCCAATATAATATTTTAGAGTGCTAAACTTCCTATTATTGTAATTGCCGCAGGATAAAAAACGTGGTGCTAGTCATGGAACCACTCCCATCAGCTCATCAACACATGCAGAGGCCACAACAATAGGTTAATTGCTGATATCATTAATATTTACGTGTTTTCTTAGGTAGCATCTATTGAGTGATCTACATTATTGCAACAGGCTTTACTAATTTCTGTTGCTAATTTACTGTTGTGTCTGTTTGAGTGATGAGAGAGAATAAGTTAAACGTTATTCCACCATTAAGTTGGTTTTGAATTCTTATATGTTATAGCATTGCTATGTCATGGCATGCTGTAGACTGAGATAATAACTAACTCTGCATCTTCATATTCATGATGGACTACATAGACATCATGAGTGACTTTGACTGCACCAATGCACCTGTTGATTTCTGAAGAAAATTGATGGTGGAGCAATGGTGGTGGTGGTGGTTGGGAAGAAGAAAGGAAGAAGGTAGGAAGAAGAAGAGTGAAAAAATCGGGGAGAGAGAGGGAGAAAGCCAGAAAATAGAAGAAAAAAAAGGAAAAATATAAAAAAAAAGTGGGGCCCACTGACGGAAATTCCACCGGAAATACTAAATGGGTGGTAATCTGCGCCTTTTTTTAATTTAATGGGTGGTAATTTAAAATAAAATATTTTTTGGGTGGTTATATCAAAATTGGTCTATTTTTTGGGTGGTAATTTACAAATTATCCAATATTTTATTTGGTTTCAGTCATAAATTGAAAATAAAACATATACAAGAAGTTTACACCTTTAAATCATAAATTATGAGTTTAAGCATTGTATTTGAGATAATTGGGATGGTAAATTATGATACTGAAGATGAGTAAACTTTGAACTGCCTATATATTATGACCCAAGATGGAGCAGGAGAATGTTAGTGAAACTAAATTGATTAAAACATATAGTTATTAATGGTGTCAAAGTATGTTAATAAGTTATATTCTGGTAGCTTGTTTTTGCAAAATTTAATTTTCACTAATCACTATCAATGATAACTCTTGCAGGGTCAGACAGTGTGCTCAACTCTGCACCGCTGAAAGGATGGCCGCTGATTGTGAGTGCCTTATTAGCTCTTTTCTGTTTGGAATATCACCTCTTATGGTAACTAGATTGACCTGGTGTGATTGCATTGGAAAATCCTGAATTCCGCAGCACCTCTTTATCATTTTTTTGGTATTAGTGACGTTCCTTGGTCTCACTAATTAATATCTGAGGTACAGTTGATTTAGGAGTGCAAAACAGGGTCAACAAAATTTTGGTTCTACACTGAAAATCCTACACAAGACATGCCTTCACTTGCTACCATCCCATCGCAATGTTTAAAAAACATAGTGGCCTTTGATGCTTTGCCTCTATACTAGTTTGGACCAGCTAGGAGCAAGTTTGTTTTATTCTAGACCTCCCAGAGCACTGCCAACCTGGATCTTTTTTTTTTTATGCTGTTGGCATAGTTTGATGTTTTCAAATGTTAAGCAGTCTTTATGTATTCGCTTTGATTGTATTGATTTTTCTATTTCTTGGTCATTTGTAATATATATGAACTTTCATTTCCTTGCCAATTGAAATGCTTTGTCTTCATCATGGGATTCTGTTTCATATTAATTTGTTTAGATCAGGAGAAGACTAGCAGCTTCAGGTAGTAGTAAATTATTGAACCAAAATCAGAATACAAGGACAAGCCCTCCCCAAGCGTCCCTGAATAATTATCTTTAATCTCATTTGTTTTGATATATTTTGCAGGGCACTAATCAGGTTTCTCCTCGTCTGGGGCATCAGGTGTTAAATTCATATCTGCAGTCAGCCCACAACCAGTCACAGGTTGACATGCCCCTGTCCCAGAGTCAACAAGAGATCTTTGCTCAGTTTCTGGCTAGTACATCAGCAAAAACATTGCCATCTTTTCCACTGACTTCTGATTTAGATATGCTTTTGAAAAACGGGATAGACAGGACATATGGCCAGGTTAGTCATTGAGGAAGTTTTGATTTATGAGTGAGGAACGTCTGTTTTGATTTATTTTGTCTTCACATCCAAATTACTAAATAGCAAATCAATGATCATTATGAAGTGTGAATTCAAAATGTTAGAAGATGAAGGCTTAAGAACTTTGTTATAGTAGCAATGACAATTCAAAGTACAGTATTTGGGTGTAAAATTTCGCCAATAGCTGCTTCTTTTCTATCAGAATGCTTATTTATACCTTGTGCTTGCTAAGAGAAGTGAAATGCCATATTGGACTTAAGCGGAGGAAAGACTTTGGTACTACTACTTCAACTCTAAAACAATGGGTGGTTTTGGTATTTTTCAGCTGTCTTAAGATGTTGGGGACTTTATTTCTAATTAATAACAGATTCAAACATGTGGAGCTGTTGTTTATGATGACCAGAGACATGATATTCGCTAATAAATTTTGTATTTAGGTTATTTTTCCTTGAATTTTTGTGCTCTGTATATTGCTTTTGTTGAAGATTTGCTTGTGTGCTATATCGTTTTGTGTACTTGTATAGGATGGCCGAGATAAAGAAGCTAGCGAAATAAATGAAAGTGTTGACATGTTCTTTTCACAATATGATGAGCATGGTGATTACACTTATGGTCCATGCACTCCCCATCATTTGTCTGCGTCTTATGTAAAAAAAGGGCATACAGGTAAATGCTATGGTTGCCACCTTTTAATTTTTTAAAATTATTATCAAATCATTTGATATTTTTTTTGCTATGAAAATCAGATAGTGTCTCACCATTGCTACAATATCATCATCCTTAAATAATCAAAACAAAGATCTTATGAGCTAAGGTCAGGTTATTGTGTCACTTTCATAATGGAGCCATATTCTCACCAATACAGACTGAAATCAATTCTATACCTGTTTCGTAGATTGCTATGTATAATTAATTCTATACCTGTTTGGTATCATGAATTTTAGAAGGTTTGGGGACTTTTTGGCAATGTATAATTAATCCTTAGATGCCAATAATACCTCTCTAGTACTCTATATAACTTGAAAGATGTTAAAGTCATTCATTTATTTTAAGTATTAATAATAGGGTATCCTTGGCTCAAATTGATTTATAAATTTATTGTGTGCATGTTGGACAGGTATTTCTTTGACGGAAGTTGGAAGTCTCCATGCAAGTAAAGCAAAATTATTCTCTTGCAATTTTTCTCCGAATGGAAAGTTGCTTGTTTGTGCTGGATATGATAAGAAGGTGAGGTGCTGTTTATGGTTTGTGCATAAAGCATTAGAAGACTTGTTTTTGTGATTTTGGTTTTCTTGATTGCCTGTACTAATAAAGTTAGATTTTTTGCAGGCTTTGATCTGGAATATGGATACTTTAGAATACACCAGTTCTTTGGAAACCCATGCTCATCTGATAACTGATGTTCGGTTTCATCCAAGCTCTGAGTTTTTTGCTACTTCTTCTTTTGACAAAACAGTGCAGATATGGGATGTAGCTGGAGTAAGTGCTTATAACCGATGACGAGTCACCAATTGTGCTCTTCTAAAGTGTTTGTGATGCATATAATGCATTTCAGCTTCACCAATTTTGTTTTACCCTGTAATTGGTGGCTAATTTTCTGTTTTTCGTCGATGTCATGTCTTGATTCAGTTCTAATGTTGTCTTGTTTACTGATTATTTTCTGCTTTACATGACTGTTGCACTAAATGGTAAATACTCAATGTGAAGTGCTGGACTAACTATATGTAGGAACTAGAGTTATCGGCTTTCTAAGCTGACATTAAGGTCTAATATGAATGGGAGCCAATTCCATTCACATGAGTGTCTTCATTAATCGAGTACTAGAATGAATCAAAAAGGCTCTTTCTTTCTTTTTTTTTAATTTTTATTTATTTTTATAATTTTGAAAAACTTTTCTGCATCTGTTTGCATTAATAAGCTACTCTCTTCAAGGCTCCTGTTGCTGTTTCATATAAGGGCTATTTGTGGTTCCTTGGTTGAACAACAATAAATATGAAAAGCATTTATCTTGAATTCATTAAGCTCTTCTTACTTCTCCTGTGTAAGGTCTGTGCCCTTCAGTTAACTGTGTATGGTTAGCCCTTCTTTCAGGCCTCGATTCTTATTTTATGGATGCTATTTGAAGATGTAGAGGCTATTCAGCTAAATTCAATTGCTTAACAATAATTTAGTTTATTACAATCCAAATCAGAAAATTTCTCACAAATGTTGGAAATGAATTCTTTCTTACCATTCACTTGCTTTGATTGTACTCCATGAACTGAAATATGATTGCTTATTTTTAAATGTCTTTGTTGTAGCCAAGCAAATCATTATTTGCACTAGCTGGGCATAGTGATCATGTGATGTCACTGGATTTTCACCCAAGAAAGATGGACCTTTTGTGCTCAAGTGACAGCAATGATGAGATTCGGTTTTGGGATATTAAGGCATATGCTTGTTTGCGAGTATCCAAGGTAATTCTTTACTGTCTATGTAGGTTCAATAGTGTGGGAAGTTACTCCAACAGTCAAATATCCAGTCAAATATCTTGATCCTTGTTATTCCAAGTGCACTTATCTTGACCTCTGGGAGAATCAGAGAATCTAAAATTAACTTAGCCTTTGTTTAATGTCTCTAGTTTTGGTATCTGTCGACTTTTGCTTCATTACTTGGTACTTCTTTGAAATCTTTTTCACCATGGTTCTCTAATAGTCTTGATTATCATGGGCTAAAATTTGTACGACTTCCTCCACATTGTAAGTCAACTGATAACCTGCTCTCAGGCTCACCTCTTTTAGGAATTTCATAATTGTTATGGGAGAGAGATGAATATCCCAAATACTACCAAGCTTTCGGTTGGGAAAAGTGTTGAGAGAAAATATGCGAGCTTGGAATCGAGGGTTCTCAATTGTTTTGATTCACATTGTTAGGTTTACAAGAGGGGACAATTAAACAAGTAATGAAGCCTGAATGGTAAAATCTTGTATGGTTAGATGATAAAAATATTGAAGAGTGCAACATCATAAATCATCTTTGTCAGTTGTAGAAGATTATCTTATTGCGTAGCCAATGCAGGCGAATGGGAGGGGGGAAGGCTGAATCATGTTTGGAGGGGAGAGGGCTGAATCGTATTAAGATCTAGCATTGTCATTCTTTGTTGAGTTTCAACTTGCCTCCATTGAAATGGGATTCATTCCCCCAACACTTAAGGGAGATTGTAGTTCTTTTTGCAATTTGAGTAGGCTCTTTATTAATCCATGTCTATTCATATCTACTCCTTTGTCCTTGATTCAATTGAACACTTTTCTAATCTGTGCATATCTTCTCCTTTGTTCTTCATTCAATTGAACACTTTTCTATTTTTTTTTTATTTTTTATTTTTTTTCTGAAATGTCACCATTTATTTTTATTATTTCATATTTCCTCCTCTTGGAACCACTCTCTATGTTCATCCTTACGTAGTCCTTTCCATGAAAATAACAACTCACTCATCACATTTACTTTTTATTTTAATTAATACAACTAAAGATTACCCAACAACGATTTATCTCTTTAAACTATTATGCTTGGTTTTGGATTTCAGTTACCTACTCATCGACTTAGATGCTTAACTTCTTTTCTCCATGGCATGGTGTAGGGAGCGATCAGACAGGTTAGATTCCAACCTCAGTTGGGAAGACTTTTGGCCACAGCTTCTGGAAATGCTGTCAACATATTCAATGTTGAGACTGGTGCTTTTGAGTTTGACTTGAAGGTATAACTTGAATATAATCTGTCACACTGATGTTTCTCATCGTTCTCTCCTTTTCTGGCTTGCTTCTTCACATACGTTCAGCCTTGCTATACTTGGTAATGATGTTTCTAACCTTTTTTTGTCAATCAAGGGACATCAATGTGAAGTGCGCTCTATTTGCTGGGATGTGACTGGAAATTACTTGGCCTCTGTTAGTGAAGAAAGTGTGCGGCTGTGGTCAATAGTGTCTGGTGGTAGATGCATCTATGAATTGCTTTCAAAGGGCCACAGCTTTCAGTCATGCACCTTTCACCCAGGAGATCCAATGTTGTTGATTATAGGAAGTTACCAGGTATTGTTACAAATTATTGTTGTAAATTTTGCTAGGCAGGTTCGGAGGGATTTTTTTTAATGGAAGGTATTTTTATTGTATTGTTACACAATGATCCTTGATGGAACAAAATATACCAGTGGTTAAAAAAATAAGAAAGAATGAATTTTTAATGGAAGCACCCAGTTAAATTCAATTGCTATTTATCCAAATTCTGATGTGAAATGTCCATTCACAATCTCGGTCTTACACCCATGTAGCATTGTGTCACAAGGAATAAAGTCTTGAGGAAATTCTTATTGTTACATCGATTAATAAATGAACTGGAGGATGGGAGTCAGGTTACTCTTGTTAAATCATTTGCAGATGTGTTGACTAATTATTTTTTTATGGATATGCAAGAAACTAGTTAAAAATAATGAGATGAATAGTTTTTGCTTTTGGATGTCATGTTCTGCGTAATCAAGAGTCCAATGTCTCGTTGACCTTAGTGCATGAATCTGCTATTTGATGAAAATATGCTCATGTTTATTCTCGTACGTAGTATATATTGCCAATCCTATATAGGCTGTAGCTGAAAAGTGAATTTCGGGGGCTTGGTTGCAGAATATGAGCCAAGACTATAAATTGTCTGTGCTCAATCAAGGGAATGCAATACTTAAATGAGCGCTAAGCATAAGCACTCTTGCGATGTATTGACAAATTTCTCTGTAATACTGATTGCTGCTTTTTGGTTGCAGTTCCTTGGTTTGTGGAATCCTACACAAAGCAGCACAATCAACACAATTCAGGCACACAGCGGCCTCATTTCTGCATTGGCAAGCTCGCCAACGATAGGATTGATAGCCTCAGCTAGTCATGACCAGAGTGTTAAATTATGGAGATAAAGAGCAGACATCGCCACTTTGGAGTTTTTTTTGGGTGGTCTACTGTAAATAACAAGGGCTCGTAGCATGGTGATTACTAATTAGAATGACAGACTAAAGTTTTTGTTGAAGTAAGTCGAGTAACGGGGAGGTTGAGTTGTGCTTTTGGAGACTCACAACTTGCCGTGGAATTCGGAGGCTTAAGGATGGATATACAAAATCTTTTTGAATGTAAGTTAACTGAAAGCTAATTAATTTGCAAAAATATGCAAAAATTATCAAATGAATGATGCACCTAACGGTGGACTCTTTAGTCTAGAATCTCTAAATGTACAAATTTCACAAGCCATTGGGCATCTTCGTAAAAAAGTAGGAAGAGAACAACTTTATTTAATTTTTGGCAATGAGGACCATCTTTAAAATATTCATATTCCTTGTTTTTCTGTTTTCGTAAAACGGAGTATATGAATGTTTGATCAATTCACGCCTCCAAAATCGGAACATTCCAAACAATATAATAGGCCGTCGCCAATTCGCCAAAGCAACTAATGCACACTATATAATTTCTTGATACTGCTACATTCCTGCAGTATACTCCATTAATGTGACACATTCAACCAATTATTCAATTTCAGGTACATTCCTTTATTTTTTTGATTACTGCCATTTCTGTTACATTTACAGTTCTTTTCAATATTACTCGAATTCTGCTTTGTTTGTTCTCCATTCTTTGCTTCTTTTCAAGTACAGTGCCTTTTACTAATTATATAATATATATAATTATTTTATGGATTAGTGTAGAACGATTCCCACATTTTATATGAAATTTAGGTTCTTTTTTTTTTTTTTAGTTTATTGTTGTTATTTTTTTTTTTTGGTACTGAATTTGTTAGGTTTATTTATTTTTGTTTGTGCCAATACCCTTTTTAATTTGGGACTTTTTGAATCTTGCAATAGTTTTTTCGCTTAAGTATCATATATAAGCATTTCATAATTGCATAATGTCACCATTATTGAACTTTAGGTTTCTTATTTATTTATGTAGCGTACCCTAAATCTTAGATGAAGCCTTGTTTAAGAGTCCTCTTTTGGCTTTAGGAGTAAGTAATGTTTGTTGATTGGGACTTCAGGGCACAATTATGTAACAGGATCATATCTTGAATCCGTAACAGAATTGACAATGCTCCTTACAGAATTGACAATCCGTAAGAAAAATGATCGAGTTGTTTTACTCCCTCTGCCAATAAATAAAGTTCGTGCTTTGATTTGGCACGTTGATTAATTATATACTACGCGGGTGTTAAATGTTACTGAAAAGATTAGAAATGAGCAGGTAGTGATAATTGTGTGAAAGTATTAGGATGGAAACAAAAAAAGGAATGGTGGGATTGAGAAAGAAATGCTAGTACTTGACTAGGTGAATTATTAATGTTAAGATTATCTTAGAACATCCCAATAAGGACAGTGTGACAATGTTAATGTATCGATATTGGAGGGTCTATCTGTGTAATCGCATATCTATTTTATTTGTTGTTTGGTGACAGTCTTGCATTGAAACATTGTACTTTTCCATTGCAGTGAGTTGATATCTAGGGGGTTTCTCCCTTTTTTTATTGTATGTTTTTATTCTTTTTCGACTTCTCCCCATTACATAACCTGGATCATGAAGGTTCATTGAAGATTTTGATTCTCTTCCACATGACTAGCATACGTCAAAATGATGAAAGTAATGCATATACGAATTGCTTATATTCATTTATTTTTCTTGTACAACTACGGTGTCAATCTAGAAGGGAAATTGTTTTCTGGTTGCCCTGTTCAATCACCACAGCATTGGGAATTATTGATTATTAACAACTGGTGTATTGAATAGAATTGTTATGCAGCTTTGAATTTGGATATGAGTATCTCCTATGACTGTTTGGAGTTTATAAGACCGTGGACATTTAACATATTGCAATAAATTATTAACCAAATTAAGATAAATTTATGTCAATATCCTTAATAATGCGTCTTTACGACACAACTTGCATTTGTCTTTATTAATTTTAATACTACTATTAAACCGTAGATGGATATCATATTATCATATGGATATGGTTTAGTAAGTTTTACTTCGTATTAGATAATGATGAAGCCAAAAATCATCTTGGACTTGTGGAAGTTCAACATGTAAAATTATATATTATGTAGTGTATACTGTAATTCCATTATCATTATTCTTTTGCAATAGTACTGCATTTGCCGAATGAACCATCAAATGTAAAAAACACTATGGCTGAAAAAATTAGCACTTGAATTGTATTTACTGTTTTGATGTTATTGTGCTTATGCTGTATGTCCTTATGTTAGACTCTTTACAACATCTATTCACCCAAAAATGACTAGATATAAACTGTGATATTATCTTGATTGTATGAATGTTTAACCACTCTGTTCTCTCCTTTTCCATGGTATATAATTATGTAAACTGTTACTTTTCTTCAGCACCATTATATACTCTCTCACAGTAGCAGGTAAGCTTACAGTCTGTACTCTTACAGGGAAGCAGGCAATAAGTATTCTTGTGAAAATGGGTGAAAGATCAAAACATACCTCCATGTTACCGGATTTGCATAGGCTACTTAACTATTCTTCTATACCATACCAAAATTTGTCTTGGAACTTACCAAGAAATCCTGCCCTTATTGCACACAAAATCTCCTTCCAACAATCCCCAAACTCACCGCCTGCCTCCTCTGTGGTTGCTCCAAATACACACTCCAACCCTCGTAAACAGAATCATGTATCCATGCCTGTTCGCTGTGCCTCCCATGGTGCTGCATTGATTCTGGGCGCTCCTATTGAACGGGTCTGGATCCTTCTGCAATGTGAGAATGAGATGATAAAATATGGTCATCTCTCTAGACCCTACAAGGGAATGAAAGACTGCTTTATAAGAACCATCAAATATGAAGGCTTCCTTTCCCTATGGCGTGGCAGCAGCATAAATGTGATAGGAAACTTGACATCATCCATGACTTGCGAGGTGCTTTTCCCAATTACACCACGTTTTTGGCATTTGCCACTTGTGATGTTGAATTGTCAGTTTCTTTATCCACTCTTTTATGCCCGAGTTCGTCTTGTTAATGATGTCAAAGTTGCTCAAAAATTTTACTTTTCTATGGACTCCACTAAAAGTAGTTTCAGCAATGACGGTGTTGGCAGTAGGAAGTTCAGTGGTGCTTCTGATGTTCTCTACAAGACACTTAAATCGGAAGGCATAGTTGGTCTCTATCGAGGATACCTCCCTGCATGCCTTTGGTCTGTTGGATATTATCTGTGTGCTGAACGGGTCAATTCTTTGGGGATGCAGAACAAGGTTTTTTTTTACCTCATTAAGCATTCTTTCATTTTAGTTGCTATGCTTGAAATTTTGAGGATTATCTATCAATTCTCTTTACTGTTGTCAAATCCATGCTGCACGGGTTTTTCATTCTAGTCCTTGGTTCAGTTGGTTGGTAATCGAATTGACACTTTCATAGGATATTGACATAGGGAAAATATATGTTGCAATTTTCTTCCATGGATAGTGTTTATAGTGTTTGAAGATAAGTCTGCAAAATGGCTTTCAAGACCTTACATTGTTCGAAAACTTGCAAAAGTAGTTTTCAGTTACACTTCAAAATTTTGCATGACTAGTGTCTTTAGAAGATAGCTTTGTTCATTAACCATTCTTAGCTTTGATATGATATACTTACATATGACTGTTTGGCATTTGCAGGAGAAAAAGATTGGCATTATACCCGTTTTAATGACGGTCATTGGTATTCCTGTCTTACGTTACCCATTTGTTACAGTAAGTCGAAGAATGATGATGACCACCGGCGAAAATACTAAGTACAATGGTGCAGTGGATGCAGTTCGACAAATAATTAAATATGAAGGAGTCTCTTCCTTGTATAAGGGCTTTACTCCATACCTAATCTATCTCTCAACTATTTCGCTCACTTACTTATACACAATAAGTTTTCTTGCGCGTAAAATGCAAAAATGATGTTAGAGCTCATTACATGGTGCATTTACTCATACAATATTTTCCGCATGTATTGAGATGAAATTCAAGGTATTTATCTCATTAGTGAAAGTCAAACTGTGAAGGTTTTTATTATTTTATTACTGGTACTGAATTTGTTGGAGAAAATTCAAATTATATTTATTTTTATTGTTTGCGTGTTAATAGCCTTTTTAATTTGAGAACTACTTCATCTTGAAATACGAAGTAGTTTTTTTGTGGCAGAAATATCAAATGGTGGCATAAGCATTTCATAAATGCATAATATCACCAAGGGTACCCTAAATCTTAGATGAAGCCTTGTTTAGGAGCCCTCTTTAAGGGTTTTAGGGGTAATGTTTGTTGATTGGGACTTCAGGGCACAATTATGTAACTGGGTCATACATGAATCTTAAACCCTTAATAGACCTCATTGACAATGCTCCTTACATTCCTAGGAAGAAAAGTGATCGAATTATTTTAATTTACCCCCTCTGCCCATAAATAAAGTTCATGCTTTGATTTGGTACGTGGATTTAGGGATGTTAGTAGGGCGGGTCAAATAGGAGAACGGATGGGTCTTGGTTTGGCGGGTGATGGGGCGGGGATGGGGATAAAAACCATACCCGCCATGGGTGATGGGGAGGGGGTGGAATTTAGGTTGTACCCGCCCCGCCCCACCCGCCCCACATCGTACCCGCCCCATTCCCACCTACCCCACTTCGTACCCACCCATTCCCACATCCATATATTTTTAAAAACAAAATTATATACTTTTATACTATTTTATAAAAAAAAATGGAAAAATTGCGAGGAAGGTCCTTTGAAAGAGTCGACCTTGTGAGGAAAGTCCTTTTATGAACAAAGTGGTGAGGAAGGTCCTTTTATGACGTTTGGGTTGCGTGGAAGGTCCTTTGACCAAACTTTGACGTTGACTTCCGTTTTCCGGCCAAAAAAAGTCACGTGCTGTGCACGTGACCTCTTAAATCTGATTTTTTTTTTTTTTTTTTTTTTCTTTTTTTCCCTTTTCCTTCCCTTTCCCTCTTCTTCCACGATTTCCCCTTTTCCCTTTCAATTTCCCTCCCTTATTTCCTTTCAATTTCCCTCACTTGGGAAGCTTAGAAATCATGCAAATTGACTAACACAATTTTATATTTTTCATAACTACATAACATAGACTAGTCACACACATGCCAAGATTCAAGAAGACAACAATGGAGGGAACTCCATGGGAGGCCGTAGAGGGCAAGCTCAGAAATGGGAACCTATTATTTTTTTCAACCAAATTGCATAAAATTCGCACTAAATTGTTCACAATTCAATATTTTCGCATTCCTTATTTTTTCGTGTGATTTTCCTCACAAGGTCGACTCCTTAAAAGAACCTTCCTCACAAGGTCGACTCCTTAAAAGGACCATCCTCGCAATTTTTCCTAAAAAAATTTATGTAAAATAAAATAGTAAATGTAATACTTTGTAATAAATTTATATTATAAACAAAAAAATGTGTAATATTAATAATAATTTTTTTTTCTTTTTGCAATCTTTATTAATTATGAAGGATTGTGTATTTGGGAGGCGAGTCTCAGTTGGGGATTAGGTGGGGGTGGATATCTAAGTGGAGGTTGGGGCGGGGATGGTTTTGGAATTGTACCCGCCGGGGCGAGGGTGGGGATGAATTTTAGACCCGCCGCGGGGATGGAGATGGGGATGGGGATGTGGATGAAAATTTTAGATGGAGATGGGGATGGGAAGGCCAACATCCGCCCCGCCCCGCCCCATTGACATCCCTTCGTGGATTGATTATACTATGTGATTGTTGAATGGAGAAAGAAATGCAAATAGTATTTTAAATTTAACGATTACTTGAATTATTAGTGTGAACTGTAAAGATTATTTCGAGACATCCCAAAAAGGATAGTGTGACGATGTTCATGTATGCATATTGGAGGGTCTTTTTTGTTAAGGGTTTTTAATCTTTTTGGATCTCTGAATTTCTCCCAAATAGTGAACCTGGATCAGATATAATGAAATTTGTGCTTTTTCTTCCATTTGACTGGCATATAATGAACTTGGTTCTTTAAAATATTAAAACGATGATAGTAATGCATATATGAATTGCTTATGTGCATTAATTTTTCTTGTACAACTACGGCATTAATATAGAAGGAATGTGTTTTCTGGTTGCCCCGTTTAATCACCACTGCATTGGGGATTAATGATCGTTAAACAACTGAAGTAATGGATATGATTGTTATGCAGCTTTTTTGAATTTGGATATGAATATTTCCTATGATTGTTATGCAGCTTTTTTGAATTTGGATATGAATATTTCCTATGATTGTTTGGATTTCGTAAGAGCATAGACTTTTACCATTTGGCAATAAGTTATCTTTAGTTATGCATCTTTACAACACCACATCTAATTGTCTTAATTAATTTTAATACTACTATTAAGCCGTAGATGGATATTATTTTTATATGGTTTAGTAAGTGTTATTAGATAATAATGAAACAAAATATCATGAACATAGGCATATAGAAACTCTACCTGTAACTTATATACTGTGATTTCATTCCTTCTCATTATTCTGTTACAATATTACTGCATTAGCACTTGAATTGTATTTTCTGTTTTGCTGTTATTGCTCTGACTTGTACTGTGTAGTAGTTGAATCATGCATATCTTATGTTAGACTCTTTACAACTTCTATTTAACCAAAAAAGACTAGATGTAAACTGTGATATGATCTTGATTGTATGAAAGTGCAATCACTTTGCTCTCTTTCTTTTCAGAGTATATAATCATGTAAACTGCTTCTTTTCTTCAATTCTTCAGCTCCATTATATAATTTCTCAGAAGCAGGTAAGCTTACACTCTTACAGGGAAGTAGGCAACAAATGTTCTTGTGAAGATGAGTGAAAGATCAAAGCATACCTCCATGTTACCGGATTTGCATAGGCTACTTAACCATTCTTCGATACCATACCACAATTTGCCTTGGAATATACAAAGAAATCCTGCCCTTGTTGCACACAAATTCTCCTTCCACCAATCCCCAAACTCACCCCCTGCCTCCTCTGTGGTTGTTCAAAATACAAACTCCAATGCTCGTAAACAGAATCATGTATCCTGCCTGTTGGATTATTCCGCTGTGTTCCCCAGGTTGCTGAAGTGATAGCTACAGCTCCTATTGAACGGGTCTGTATCCTGATGCAATGTCAGAATGAGATGATAAAATACGGTCATCTTTCTAGTCCCTACAAGGGAATGAAAGACTGCTTTAAGAGAACCATCAAACATGAAGGCTTCCTTTCCCTTTGGCGTGGCAGCAACGTAACTGTGATAGGAAGCTTGACATCAACCTTGATTCACGAGGTGCTTTTCCCAATTACACCACGTTTTTGGCATTTGCCACTTTTGATGTTGAATTCTCAGTTTCTTTATCCACTCTTTTATGCCCGAGTTCGTCTTGCTAATGATGTCAAAGTTGCTCAAAAATTTCACTTTTCTGTGGACTCAACTAAAAGTAGTTTCAGCAATGATGGTGTTGGCAGTAGGAAGTTCAGTGGTGTTTCTGATGTTCTCTACAAAACAATCAGATCGGAAGGCATGTTTGGTTTGTATAGAGGATACCTCCCTGCATTCCTCGCGGTTGTTGGACAATATCTGTCTTTGGAATGGGCTCAATCTGTATTGAAGCAGAACAAGGTTGTTTTTTTTTTGGTAGTCCAAAATTAACATGACTAGTGTCTTTGAAGATAGATTTGTTCATTTTATCCATTCTTTACTTTGTATGATATACTTACATATGACTGTTTGGCAATTTCAGCCATTGCAGGAGAACACGATTTTCATTATACAGTACAGTTTTATGACAGTCTGTGGTGCTATTCTCTTACGCTACCCATTTTTTACAGTAAGTCGAAGAATGATGATGACCACCGGCGAAAAAACTAAGTACAATGGTGCGGTGGATGCAGTTTGACAAATAGTTAAATATGAAGGAGTCTCTTCCTTATATAAGGGCTTTACTCCACAATTAATTGCTCAATTCTTTGCTTGTACGCAATAATATGCTATGAGCGTAAAATGCAAAAATGATGTTAGAGCTCATTACATATTTACATGGCGTTTTTACTCCTACAATATTTTCCGTGTGTATTGAGATGAAATTCGAGGTATTTATCTCTGTAGTGAAAGTGAAACCGTGAGGGGTTTATTTTCCTTAATTGTAACAAGGTTTTATGCTGCCTATAGAATATATGCACTCACTATCTTTCATTCTGTCTGTTATATGATATGTCTAACTGATCGTTTCTCATATCGGCTTTTGGCTGTGCAAAATGTTTTAGTTGTAGAACTTGCTGGCTCAATTTGTACTTTGTGTGGAGTAATGATCTTTGGTTGTTACACTGTATCCTCAAAAACAAAAATATGCTGTAAGCCTCTCTTCCAAAAGACTAGGAAAGTGGTAAAGTGTCTTTAACTCTTTATGGAACATAATAGTTGTTTATCGTTATAAGGATCAAAACTGGTGAATTGGACCGAACAAATATAATCCGACCAAAAACTGAACTGATATATATATATATATTCTTGAAAGACAAACAGAATTGATTTGAATGGACTTAAGACTTTGTTCTTTTTCTTTTTCTTTTTTTTAATTTTTTTTTAACAATATGAAAAAAATAAATAAAAATAAAATAAAGAACACTGACATTTATATCAAGGAGTACTCCATAGTCCATAATGTATGATACAAATTAAAAATTGATCCAAGATTGAATTTAAAGGGTTTTGCATCACCAAGTCGTATTTAGACTAGTGATAAGAATTATTATGTGAATAATTATCTCATAGAGTCATAAATGCCTGAATTTCCTTATCCTACCCCTAATTTTGAAAAATTCATACTCAAGTTGGGTTGACCCATGAGAGTCTCCGCTCCAAAAGAAAAATAGTTTTGGATGACTAGAGTGGTGGTCCATTTTTCTGGTCTAAACCGATTTATGAACACCCCTACCAGCCCTATACCAATTTGCCATAGAAAGAAAGAAAAGGGTTGCCAACTTTCTAAAGCAAACTATGCTCGCACAATGGTACTGCTCTACTCATAGTCTCATACTCCATTTTTGTGAGACTCCACTCCTCTTCTTGATCCTTCTAAATGTCAAGATCAGACTTAAAACAGGTACTTTTCCCTTAATTTTCCATCATCAATTTTTGCTTATTAGTATCGCTCTTTCTCTCGATTTCTTGCACTCTGCAATTTCATTATACTAAGAGTTTGTGAAATAATTACAGTTCACGTTATATATAACTCAATTTATGCTATCTACTCCTGTATTTAAGTGCATTGGCTTATAATCTAACTCATTAGGGATTTGAAAGTGGGAATTCACCGGTTTTTGGGTTTAAATTTTGGGTTTTGATGAATGTGATAATCCACTACTCCAGGGGTTTGTTTAGCAACATACTGTAAATCAATAATCATGCTTGTTTTGCAGGAGCAAATTAAAATTTTGGGTGTAGGAAATGAAAGAATATATTGCTTTTGGAAAATTATTGTTAGTGTAACCATTTAATTCCCACATTATACTCTGCCATTGAAATGATTTTTTTTTTATTTTTTTTTCTTTTGGGTGGGGTGGGGTGGGGGGGGGGGGGGAGGGTCTATTCCTGAATTCCTACATTATTTGTGTTTTCTTTATGAATTTATTTATACCCTTTAGCTTAAATTTGTTAATTTTTGATATCATCATAAAAAAATGATCCTTTCATTGTTTCAACATCACACCATAATTTGATTTAGGTGCCTTACCAAAATTTTATATCTAGGGTAGCACTGTAGTAGGGTGCCCTTAATCTTAAGAGTTATTGGGGTTAAAGTTTGTTGATTGACACTATAGGGCACAATCATGTATAAGGGTCATACCTGGACATACATTATTGACGATGTTGTTTATATTCCTAGGAAGCAAACGAATAGTATTGCTCCCAAGAAATAAACTCTATAATTCGATTTGGTGCGTGCTTTTATAATATTTGGTAAATGTGAATAAATTGTTTATAATTCAGTAAGGACAGAAATATGTTTGATAGTATTGCAAAGGAGACCAAAAATGATTGGTGGGATGGAGAAAGAAATACTGAAGTATCATATGAATTATACAGATTACTTGAAATTGAAGTGTGAGTAATATTTTAGGACATCCTGTAAAGGTCTAAAGTATAGTGTGAAGTATATGTAAGGATGGATACTGCATACTGGAATGTGTATCAGTTTGAGGGCACATCTACTTCATATGAACTTGGTTGTTTGGTGAGAGCATTACAGTGTGTAAGTGTGTTTGGGTAACAATGATAGAGGCCTAGAGGGTAAGGAAGGGTAGGGAGAAGTTTATTTGTGTTTTTTTCTCAAAATCAAAATAATTTGGTTTAAAGTGTTGGACCTTTTGGTTCTCTCTGCTTTTCTTTTACCAAATGGTATCTAAGTAAAGGAAAATGGTGTTAACACCCTCTTTCTCCTTTCTTCAAACCCTACTATCTAGATACAATTTTATTGTTAGCTAGCTGTTCATGGAAGTTCCTCTCTGAGATCTCTTTGTAGTTAAATAGCTGAAATCTTGTATCTTTGTCATATTCTCAACTGTAGGTGTGTCATCTTGTCATTTTTGTTGATTGAACACATTGGTATGTAGCTTTTTGAAATTACCTTGAGTACCTTGACTGTGAGTATCCAGTCACCCTTGTTATGATGACTTCCGAGATGATTACTATGATATTCTCATTGAGATATTCAATTAAGGCAACTATAAGAGGAAAGGCCTTGCTGGAAAAAAATACCCCTTATTCGAAGAGCCTTGCCAAAAGGAGGATTATATGATTTATACCTGTACAAAATAAGGAGCACTTGGCTTCTGTCATACACTCATACCCAAAGCCATCTCCTTTTGGAAATCCAAATTAATAAATTTGCTCTTATCTACAGCATCACTCAGATAACATTGTCTTACTATTCTACATCATTCTTGCAGGCAACACTTTCATCTGAAATGGCAGATAGGTGTGAACATACTTCTATGTTCCCAGATTTGCATTGGTTGTATCACTCTCCTAGATCTTCTCACATTCTTGGCAGCACCATTGTAGCTCAAAATTTTCTCAGAGATCCCGCCCTGTTGGTACATAGAAATTTATTACAACCATCCCCAAACATATCTTCCTCTTCTGTGATTACTCCAAAGAAGCAAGTACACCCAAGGGAACAAAATCCTGGGTCGTATGCTATCCTGCAAGGAATGTCTCAGCTTATTTCAGCCTCAGCTGTGGCTCCTATTGAACGGGTCTATAGCCTGATGCAATGTCAGAATGAGATGCTAAAATATGGTCGTCTTTCGACTCCTTACAAAGGAATGATGGATTGCTTTAGCAGAACAATAAAAAATGAAGGTGTCCTTTCTCTTTGGCGGGGTAACAGTATGAATGTGATCACACCCTTGACAATTGAGGTGATTCTCCAATTTTCACTATCTATTTTTTGTTGATACTGATTCCCCCCCCCCCCCCCCCCCCCAAAAAAAAAAAAAAAAAAAATTGTCTGTGGTAAACTGGTAACAATGTATAAGTATATAATAAGCCAATTTCCAATTTAACAGAGTTATTCAATGTTCTTCAATAAAGTTTGAGTAGACTAGGGAGGATCTTGTTATTGTTGTATATGATTAGCATCTTAGAAAATTCACAGATAAATAAAATTTGATTTTATCATAACCATGTTTTTGCTTGTTATTCAGGCCTCCATGTTTGCTTTTGTCCATTTAAGGCGTAATAGTACCTTATTCAAGGAGGTTCATGAACCACCTTTGTGGTTTCTATCTCTTGGTGGAATGTTGGTACTACTGCTTTGTTATCCATTGGATTTTACCCGAATCCGCCTTGCAAATGATGTCAAAGCTGCTCAAGTACATTTTTCTTTGGATTCTTCTGGCAAAAACATCAGCAATGCCATTGGCAATTGGAATTTCAATGGTGTTTTTGACGTTTTTAAGAAGACAATGCAATTGGAAGGCATAGTTGGTTTTTACCGTGGATACACTGCTGCATGCGTTGGTGTTTTTGCATACCAGGCCTCAACTGTGTTTAAATCTCACTACAGAGAAAAACTAACAAAGGTTCAATGCATTTCTATATATTTCTCATTGATTGTTCTTTTTATTTTAGAGTTGGCCACTGTAAATTTTACATAAGCTTTCTATATATTTATTCTATAATCTGCTGCCCTTTTGACTTACCTCGAATGACTGTCACTTATATACAGGAAAAACATACGTATTCAGCCAGGATTGCACCTATCATTTTCATGGGTCTTCCTGTGATATTTTACCCTATGCTTACTATCCGCCATAGAATGATGATGACCTCTGGCGAAGTAACCAAGTACAAGGGTGCTGTGGACGCGGTTTGTCAAATTGTCAAACGCGAAGGAGCTTCTTCCTTGTTTAAGGGTTTGAGTGCATATGTGGTCTATTGCTGTGCTAAAGATGCCATTGTTCTTGCTTTCATTTACTTGGCGTACTCTAGAATTGATAACCTTAGAAAATGATGTCGAGCTAAACTCTAGAATGTGCCCAGTAGTTTTTTGTTTAAGCATTAGCTTGTTTTTCCAGTTGTTACTTGGCTAGATTGTTAACCCTTAGGATAATTTTCATCCATGTACTAGCAATTTTACTAACCTTATTCATGAGTTGTTTTTCAAAATAAATTAATCAGTTGATTAAAGGAGCTGAGTATGATGAAAAAATGTTGGTCTTAATCAATTAAAGCAATTTAGTTATCATTCCTCTCACTTTGTTTGCTGATGGAACCATGAATATTTTGCCCTGCACTCTAAAATTCTTTGTTGTAGTAGCTCTATAATAGAGTTTGTCAAAGTTCTTTTGGCCTACATATCTTAGCGCTTGATTTAATACTTATAGGTGCAATCCTGGCTGAATACGTATGTTTTTCCTGTAAGGTGGCATGCTACTCTGGCACTGATTGATATGTACTGAACTCAGAGAGCTGAAGAAGGTTCACTTGGACCTGCAGGTGGCGGTAGTATCATCAGTAACAGCAGAGGCATAATGTCCATCTTGCTGGAAAATTTTGGCTGTTGTACTGCTTTTTGACATATTAGAGCTGAGGTTATGGTGCTTGAGCTACCCAAAGAAGTTACAAAATTGAGAAATCAATGAATAATTCAAATAGACAACTTACTTGTGCTCACACTCTATAGAAGGATATAGATTGGGTTGAAGAGAGTGTTCATTCTTCAATTTCTATGGTTATTTGATTAACTAGCAAGATTCGGAAAATCAGAAGTGGTGGTAAATTAATGTTTTGAATTAGAGAACGGAATTAAGTGGTAGATTGACTTATTAATTGTGACATAACTGAAATAAACCGATTCTCTATCTATAATAAAACTCGTAATAAATTAATAACAACACTGTGTATAGCAATAATAATAGTAATACGGTCAAAAACCCGTACATCCATACCAGTTCGTAAACCAAAAGCACCAAATAGGTGCGTGAAAGGCAGCCAGGAAGTTAGGAGTGTCAAAACATCTGCTCTTTGTATACGTACAACCAAACGTTTCTGACTCTCTTGGGTCTTCTATCCGTCAGCTTCTCACTCTTCCGGTAAGTCAACAAATTTCTCTCTCAATTTCTTCCCCTTTCCCTACACTTGCGTAAACTCATCTCTGCAATAAATCATGCTCGTAATTTCATAAATCAAAATACCCATTTATTTTTTTTTTATTATTATGTTTGTCCATCATTCACTTAATTTTATAAGCATTGTTCATGTTCATGATGGGGTTAATATAAAGGTGGTAGACAACAATTGTTAGCCATTTTTACACCATTTCAGCCATTTAAGCTTCTTTTGTTTTGTTTAATCGAAGAGGGTGTTTCCAGTCTCTTAGCTTGCTGACCAAGTAAATATCTAATTTCCTCTGATTTGTTTTTACACATTTTGTTAAAATTGTTCTTTATTTTTATTCCATATGAAAATTTATTTGAATCAGGAATCTGGGTTTTATCCATTTGGGTCTTCCAGATAGTATTAAGAAGATATAAACCCATTTGTGATTTTAATGATTCATTTTTTTAGAAAAATTAAAAACAGAGTTTACAAGAAAATTGTGGAAATCCAACTACGTATATTGGATTTTTGGAATATGTTGGCTTAAAGATTGAGAATCATGTTGCTCATGTTTCCTGTGAGGTACAATGAAATTAAATGCGCTCATTGTGTAATTGTGTTTGCTAGTAATAAATTTGCATGGTTGGGTCTTCCACCCTTCTAAAGGCAAATCACCCTATGTTAGTTTATTTGAAACTGGATTTTCGAAATCCAACCATCTGCTATGGTACCTGATTCTTGGCAAGCAGTGTCCGACAAGTAAGCGTACGTATTTGAGAGTAGGTGCAACCAATTTATGAAAGATTTGCTTGAAGTGCAGCCATTTAAGTGTCATTGTGTCATATCCATGTCCGAGTGTCAAAGTATTCAACACCGGTAATTGCTTGGAAATAAAAACAAAATCATAGAATTGGACTTTCATAACTCATTTGGTATGCAAGTAATCCATCAATTGCTCACTGGTAACACTGATGACTTGCCAATAAGTAGTGTATGTAAGTAACTGATTAGTATGAAACTAACTGCTAAATATGACATTTATTCATTTTTATTTCATTTGGTAGGCTTAAGGAAGAATTGGTGTTGACATGTCTATGAACAAAGGCACCACGACTGTTGTGATTGCAAGTCACTATGACAGCCAGTTTTCACATCCACTGCCTCTACCTCCGCAGATTGTACCGATAGCTGTGCGTCGACCTTGAACAATCAGATACATAACAGCCCTGCATGGCCTCGTCGCTGTTGCTGTTAGCACAGCTGTGGCGCCTATTGAGCGAGTCCATCTCCTGATTCAAAATCAGAATGAGTTGATAAAATTGGGCCACCTATCTACTCCTTACAAGGGCATGAGGGACTGCTTTTGCCGAACAATCAAACAGGAAGGCATCACTTCCCTGTGGCGAGGGAATAGTGTGAACATTCTCAAAGTCTTTACTTCTCAGGTAAAATTAAACCCGCTTTTGTGATATGTAAATCTTTTTAATTGAGTGGATTAAGCTCATGTTCTGCCTATATTCTGCATATAACATGTAGAGCAGTTCTTAACTTGTCAATTTTCATTCAGGCTTTAGTTTTTGCCATCTATAAGAACTCTTGGTACAGGGTGGCTAAGAATGATGATTATGGTAATTTTAAGTTTCATGCTGCTGTTGTATCTGCAACATTGATTCAGTATCCACTGGATTACGCTCATACACGTCTTGCCAATGATGTCAAAGCTGCCAGAGGACTTCAATTTTCCTTGGACTCTGCTCAAAAAAATCTTATTAAGGATTTTGGAACTAGGAAGTACACTAGTATGTTTGATGTATACAAACAGACTATTAAAACGGAGGGCATGCTTGGACTCTACAGAGGATACAACTAGAGCTGTCAAAAACTTTCCTGGCCAGATACATACCTGTAGCCATGGTATGTAGTGTTCCGGTAGCTCTGTATCCAATGACTAGTATAAGTAGAAGGATGATGATGAATTCAGGGGAAGCAACAACCAAATACAAGAACTCAAAACATGCTTTTCGTGAGATTGTGAAACACGAAGGTTTTTGTTCTTTGTACAAGGGTGTAACTGCAGGAATGACCTTATGCTTCGCGAGGATACTCTCAATCAAGGCATCATACAAACTCGTACTACATTTACTTCATTATAAATTCGAATAGTAGAATGATCCATGTTCGAGCACTTCATGCTTTTGTGAATCAGTCAGCACTTCACCTGATCTGTGGACTAGTCTGTTTCTTGAAGATGAGATAAATTGTCCTTATAATAGTTTTTCTGGTGGTATCATATTTTGCTTGTTGCTAGAGCGATGGACTTGAAACTTGCTTGTTAGTCGCCCTAAGGCTTCTAAATATGTGGTCGTTGATGACTTTAAAAAGTGATACTATGAGATCAATGTTTACATTTTGAGCACTTGAGTTTTCTTGAACCTTACTCTGTAATTGAGACATTTTTTCTTGAGGAAAAAGAAGTTTGATCATATGTAGCTTCTGTTTATTCATAATATTTTGATTTTCTAGAAAAGGTAATTAGCCATTTTGGTATTTAAAGACACTTTGGCATTTGAAAAATTAAAATTAAAATTGTTACATTTGGGTGGCATAACATAATCAAAAGGTTACATTTTTGCCAAATTTCTTGTCGTGTTACATTTTATTGACAACATGTATGAGATTCACTTTAAAAAAAAATTGTATGCAATTTTTATCTCACAACTATAATTGAATAATTTATTAATTACATAATTCGAGCTCTAAGTGAACAACACAAGTTTGTATGATCTTACGCAATTTCATAATCGTATATTGTTGATAAATGCGAATTAAGCTATGCAAAAATTAAAAAAAAAAAAAAAATACGAATAATAGTCATATCATATACATATGCATATTCTACCTATTATCATTTATCCAAAAACTTTCACCAAGTAATCCATACATATTATCGCATTACACGCAACAACCCGAAACATTGTCCAAGCAACCGAAAGTTGCATTCATCAATTGTCAAATCCCCTCTCACCCACATCACAATTCACATCCGTCCAAAAAAGAAGATTTGCATGAAAAAAGCTATTTTATGATCTCCTGCACTACACACCCCTACCAACATCCAAGTTCCGCCCCCCTCCCTCTCTCTGCAACGTCCAAAGTATCAGTATTCACTAACCAATTCAATGGCGCCACCTCACTAAACCATGCCTTAACTCATCCTCCTAACTCTAGTCAAATCATTAACCCCAGCTCTTTAACCATGGTTTTATTTCATTTTCTCTGCTCTATTTATACCTCTTCTTCTCATTCACCCAATTTTCACTTTTTCTCACTACTCCATTATCACACCTTCAAAAAGAGGAGAGAGAATGAGTTACCGTGTTCTTCAAGCTCAGAAAATTGCCACGTCTATGGCAAGAGTCTCCCTCTGCCGTAACAACCTCCTCAGCCACCGCCGTTTTAGCAGTGCGCCACCGCCTACGGCTGCCGGAATTCCTTGTCGCCTCCTTGCTAACTGCAAACTTGCTCGTTCTGGAAACATCCCTGATTTTGACGGCCTCCCTCCTCACTGTCTACTCCGAGGTAATATCTACACTTTATTTTTCTGAAATGTATCATACTTGTATTTTCTTTCGCAGCTGTTTTTACTTTTATACTTGTTTAAATGTAGAGTTTGAGGTCTATATCACATTATTAATGGAAGATTTGTGTGTTTTATCTGATTCTGAAAACCATTGCATTTTCTGGGTTTTGTTGTTTGTATTTTGTTTTTGTGAGAAAAAAAAAAACCCATTTCTTAAACCCTTAAATATTTTGCTTCTTGTACACGCTATTCATACAAGATTTTTATCTGGAATTTTGATCATCTAAGCTTTTACTAATTGTATATAATTTAATGTAATAAACTGATTATATAGTGATAAACCAAGTGATGTTATTTTGAATTTCATGTTAAGCTGTGATTGATTTTGCGCGTATGTGACTAATGTAAGTTATTCAATGTATTATTAGCCCACTAAAATAATGTTATGACCGGTTTTAACTCTATCAATAGTCTAATTTTAGATTTATTACTTGCTTTTGTGGATAGATTGGATATTTATGTTGCGGTCGATTTGGTTTGAGAGGATAAATCATGCCATCAACTTAACGAGTTAAATGGGTCATTGAATTTATTTGCTATGGTATATTTTGTTAGTTTATGATGATACATACATTAATTTTTTATACTATAAACTTAGGGTCCTTAATCAATGAGTTTATGATTCACTTATTGGCATATAATTACATACCGAATTGGCGAATTTGAATCTGAGTTCTAGGGAAACCTGAAATGGAAGAAATAAGACTCATAACGTGAGAAACGTCTTAGCTTAGCCTTATTACTTGTCACATATACTTGTATATTTAGTTTGCTGTATGGATTAGTGGATGAGTTTCGCAATTCTAATTTTATTGAAATGCTATCATGATCAGCTTATAAGTATGGAGCCTCGCAGTTCCAACCTGTTGGAGGACTAAGGAAGAATAGTTCGTTTTATAGTGACACAGATGATGATGACTCAAGCTCCGATAATTACTCGGATTCTGATCAGGACCTGCCCAACACATGGCGTTTCAAGCAAGACGATGATGCAGTCTACTTAAGGATGGATGTGCCAGGAGTGGGCAAAGAAGATGTGAAGGTCTATGTGGTTGGCAGCTCTCATATGCTGAAGGTGAAGGGAATCAGAAAGTTGGACCCTGAGTTCGGGGATAATGCTGAGACCGGTCCTAAACCCTTTCTTTATGAGGTCGGTTTAATGTCACTCAGTGAATACAAGGTTGATAAGATTAAGGCTGAGGTAAAGGATGGTGTGCTCAAGGTTACAGTGCCGAAGGTCAAGGATGAGGAGAGGACGGACATGTTGCACGTTCAGGTCGATTGAATCAATTTGTGGATTGTTTCGGGTTCACAGGCTCTATGGAGGACTCTTTTTGGTGATGAGTACAATAATTCTAGTGTTGCAGTTGTACCTATCTTTTGCTTTTACTAGAAAAACTTGGGTTGTTTTCTCTTTTCATTATGGTTCTGAATTTGCGGATTTGCTCAACAAAGTTATGTGCTAGCTATGGTGTCGAGAATGAAAAAGAATCAAATTTTAGACTTAAAGATCTACTTCCTATTCATGCTATACATGGTCGTCTATTTTATTTCATGATTTGATAAGGTGATTTGATGATTCGATCACACTAGTTTTCTCTAAAAGTTGTGCATAACATGCATAAAATTGTCTATGATTTCCTCTGTTAATCCAGTCCTTTTGCAAATCATAGCCTCTTATTTACTGTAGGCTTTATGAATTTTGTCAAAACATTGAATCTGATGTTGGTGAAGGAGGATCAGATCATTTTACTTGAAGGATTGAAAATTGCTCCTAGGATGAATACAGACAGTATGCATGCATTGTACTCCTTTCGTAAGAATTAGACTCGAAAAGTTGGATAATTTATGAACTCGTACGTTAAAATTTTCTTTTGTATCGAGTAACCTGGGCACCGTGACGGGCCGGACCGCCGCGGGCCGGGCCTGGCGGGCCACGGGCTGGTTTGAGCCGTGCCCGTCGTGCCGGCGGGCCCAGGATTTCGTGCCGTGCCGGCCATTTTCACAGGCCAGCCCACGGCACGGCCCTCGTGCCTGGCGGGCTCGTGCCGTGCCGGCCTGCGGGCTGGTGCAGTTTTCAATTTTTTTTTTTTTTTTTTATTTGACAACATTATAAATTAATAAGTTTATAATGTATATAAGTTATAAAATTATAATTATAAGTTTTATAAGGTTATAACTTATAAGTTTATAACTTATAAGTTATTAAGTTATGAATTATATAATTATAAGTTGAATATTTATGTTTTATAATTTGTATATTCAATATTTATATTTATATATTTACTTTATACTATTACTTTAAAATTTAATGTTTATGATTTACTAGTAATTGGTATAATTTTATTTTTTTTTAATATGAATTTACAAATTGTAACAAAACGGGGAAAAAAGGCAAATTGGACTTTGGATGTGAATAATGCGTACTTTATATTATTATTACTTGAGTTGAGAAAATTGTACAATGATAACAATGATAAAAATCATACAATGATGGTATTAAACAAAAATTTGAAAATGATAAAATTGATATTTTTAAAATCGTACAATATACAATAATTGTCTATTCTTCTTCTCCTTCTTCTTGCTCGTCTTCGTCTTCGCCTTCGCCTTCAAGGTCATCGGCTAGTTGCATAGATTGGGAACTAGCCGAACCCGAACCGGAAGCGGAGGTTCCTTCTTCGTTGTCGTTGTGGTCGTAAGAACGGTCTTGTGAGCGATTTTCCGCATCCAACCAATCTTTGAAACACACACACATTTCTAGTGTTTCGGGTTTTAGACTTGTTCTTCTATAGTCTAAAACCCTTCCGGATGCGCTGAAAGCTCGTTCGGAGGCGACGGAGGAAACTTGGATAGCAAGAATGTCTCGTGCCATTGCCGCCAAAGTTGGATGCTTCGAGCTTTGTTGTTTCCACCATGCAAGGAGGTCGAGGCTGTTTATCTCATCGTCGTCCATGCCTTTGGTGAAGTCGTAACTCAGGTACATCTGCAACTCCGAGACGTCGCTTTGCGTTCTCCTGATTGATGAATCACCTGAAAACCTTGAAATCAAGTTAGTAGCTTGTGAAAATAAATGTTTGGCCTTCTTACTTACGTTTTTGGATGGTTGGGAAGGCCCTGAGCGAGGAACGGTGCCATATTTGGCTTCATAGACTCTATATAAAGCAAAAAACTGATCCTTCACATTAGTCTTATAGTTTTCTACATCATCGTCAAGAAACATGCATTGAAAGTAAATGTCAACTAACATAAATGTGTTTTCATACTTTTGCCTAGGATCTAATATGGAAGCAAAAATATAAATCAAAGGAATCTCACTATAATATTTACGCCACTTTTTTTCCATTGCTGGAAGATACTGATCATAATCACTTTGATGGCGATGATCAGCGAAAAGTTGGGCGAGTAAGCATGCATTAGAAAGAAAGTTTTGAGCACAAGGATTGTAAACAGTAGAAAAACAATACGTCATGTTATATAATAACTGTAAAAATTGCATATATCTTTCACAGTTATTCCAATCATCATCATACAAAGCATTTTGTGGAAATTTTTGGTTGTAAAATAATGTTAACGGGCCCTTGTACTCAATTGCCTTTGTTAACATGTCATAGGTGGAATTCCACCTAGTTGGGCAATCGGTTCTAATTTTTATTACCCTTATCTTTTGTTGTTTTAGAAAACTCTTCCATTCTTGGTATCTCATGTTAGAGCTATTAATAGACATAATAGCATCTCTGATTTTGCTGTAGTATGGGCCAATTGCCCGAACTCCATCCTGTACACATAAGTTAAGTACATGGCAAACACATCTAGTATGAAGAGCTTCACCGTCTAATAGTACATCGGTTAAGTTTTGTTTGATAAGATTAGCTATGTATGTCATAGAGGTTGCATTATCAAAAGTCATAGACATCATTTTATCTCGAAGATTGTATTCGTCTATTGCTTGCATTAAATGGTGAGCAATGTTAATGCCGGTGTGTGGGTATTCCAGCATTTTGAAATGTATTATTCTTTTTTGTAACATCCATTGATCATCTACCCAATGGCAAGTCACACATAAATAGTGATATTTATAACCACTATCCCAAGAATCGGCTGTTAAAGATACTCTACAGTTAAGGTTACTCAATTCGGCTTGTAACCGAACTTTGTACTCTAGGAAATTTTTCATTGCGGCGGAACAAACGGTTTTCCTAGAGATTCTTTTATGTTGGGGTTGTAGTGCTTTGTTAATGTAGGTGTTGAATGCGTCACTTTCCGAGAAAAGAAAAGGTTGTTCGGCGTGTACTATCATTTTTCCTAGTTCATCCCTATCCCTCTCATAGTTGTATGTAAAGCCATATGGATGGAATTGGGAAATTTTGGGCTGGGTTGGATCACTAGCTGGTTTTGCACAAGCTTTCATGTGTCTAGATAAGTGTCCCGTCCCGTTTTTGGTAACTGCCGTGAATACACTATTACATGTTTTACATTTTTCCCATTGTTCACCATCTTTACTTAGGACAAAATAACGCCATACCTCACTCCTTCGGTTTTTCAAAAGTAGCATCTCAGTTTCGGTTAACCATTCATGATGTGTGTGATGGTTAGTAGTGGGACTAGTGGGAGTGGCAGTAGAAGGGGTAGAACCGGAGGGAATTCGGGTACTTTCTTGGCTACCTTGGCTAGAACAATAGTTTTGTTGATCACCGATATAATTAGGTGGAAATTGGTATGGTGATAGTGGAAATTGGTTTAGTGGTGGTGCTGGAAATCCCGACGTATTATATGGCTCATAGCCCGGGGGGAAGTAAATGGGGTCATTGGTTTGACTCGTAATTTGGGGGCTCGTTGTATTTGGTGGTTCCCTTGAACTACTACTACGGATAAGTCGGCCTTTCCCCCTAGACCTAGATGATGGGTTGTTCGATGCCATAATTAACAATTAATTTTTTAATAAAAAGTGGTTAACTATAATAATAATAATTAATAACAACAATTTTAACAATAAAAATATCAATAATATTAATTAATAACAACAACTATAACAATAACAATAACAACAAAAATAAATAATAACAACAATTGTAACAATAATAATAATTAATAACAACAATTATAACAACAACAATAACAATTAACAACAATAATAATTAAACAAGATTATTCTAATAATAACAATAAAACAATAATAAATTTAAGATTAGTTTAGATCTTACAACCGTGCTTCAACGCTCCACTAATTACGATTACGAACTTTTTAATTTTTTCCGATATTAGGAAAATAATTAGAGAATTTAAGAGAATAATTAGAGAATTTAAGAAAATAAGGATTATTAGAGATTTAGAGAATATAAGAGATAAGAAGAAGAGATTGTGATTTTGTGATTTGGGAATGAAATGGAGGTGAGTATTTATAGAATTTTTGGGGAGCAAATTGGCAAAAAACTAGCCGTTTTTTAGCCGTTTTTTTGGCTTATTAAAGAGCTAGAATAAACGGTAACATTACCATTGGCCTGCGGGCCGGCACGACGGGCCATGCCCGTGCTCGTGCCGGGTCGTGCCTGGGAATTCTCAACCCTGTCCGTGGCACGGGAGTTGAACTTCGTGCCGTGCCGTGCTTGAATTTGGGCTGCGCCGAACGGCGGGCCGTGCCGGGCGGCACGCGGGCCAACCCGGCCCGTGCCCAGGTTTAGTATCGACTACATAAATTTTGAACATATGTACGAGTAGAATTTTAAACCTTGCCTCGGTAAATATGAAATTATCTCTCAACAAAATTAAACATGAAAATTAGTAGAGTAATAAAAAATAGACATTCATGATTCCTCCAACTGCCACATCATATCCGTCCAAATCAAAGGGATTTGCATGAAGATAGGTCCAACTCTATCTTTGATACGTTGCACCCATCTCCGCAAAACCTTCAAAATACTCCGTAGTAACCAATACAGTAATGCTACATATCAAAATTATCATCTACATACGTACTGACATACTCCAGTCAAATTCCAAATTAACTTGGTTACTCGTATTATCATTATTATTACTCGTATTCATTTTATAATAACTATGGTTTAATTTCTACTCGTATTAAACATTTCATTTCTTTTCAACTATTTCTCCAAATTATTCTCCGCTTATAAACATTTCATTTCTTTTCAAGTATTTCTCCAAATTATTCTCCGCTTATCTTAAAGAGAAAGAAAAACCGTGTAATAATGTTAGGTTATGCAAACCACTACCACCTCCTCAGCCATACACCGCCGTCATTTGTATCAACTGACCCTACTTACACCT